AGGTTAGGAAGATTTTTTTATCGTTTTAGATATTTTTAGTATGAAAGTGATGTGGGGTGAAGATATAGAAAGATATAAAAAAAAATACAATGAAATTATAATTCGTAATGGCAAGTTGCTGTTACATTAATAAATTTTAAAATTGCCGAGACAAAAATAATAAGTTCTAGAATTTGCTTTATAAGGCGGGCGACATTTGTCACTGGTTAGTATTGAAATCGGCTCACGAACTGCGTTAAGTTCAAGTTATATACAGTAAAGACAAGTGCGCGGTGTGCGCGGTGTGCGCGGGTCATTACTGCGCGTATATTCCCACGGCCGCTTGATAGATACTCGCTGATATTTTACGTACAGCCTGACCGGATATATATTCAGGGGGGCTTTTTTAAAACGACCAATGTTCGTAACACACTTTTTAAGTAGTATAAAAAGAAATCTATATTTTAATACGTGAAGCAAATACTTTGGATCCCTTTTTACGAAAATTGCGAGAATGGAGGAGTATGAAATTTAGCACACTTATAATTTATATGTAGGAGCAGTGCAAACGACTAATATTTTTCAAAAATAATGCTTATAAAATTCATTAAATCGATAAATAAAACATTGCACACACTACTATGCATTTGACACACACAAACAAGTATTTGCTACACGCATACATACATATACTTTATGGTCAAATTGTTTCTTTTGACATAGAGTTTGTTTATTTCTTTTGAATATTGGCTTCGCAAGGTTTGTGCATTTAGCCAGTGTCAAGTTTTATATGTTTAAACATATGTTTGTGATGTTTACTGTGGTTTTACTGAATATCAAAAGAATTTTTGTTAAATAACTTCTAGTTGAAATTTATTATGGTTGAATTTCAACCACTGGGCGAACACTAGTATAGTTAATTAGGATATTAAAATGTCACAATATAACCTGTTTCGAGTAATCTCACGTGTTTCTCTCATGTTAGGTTAAATCGAAGACGGAAATACCTATAAAAACCATTTGCTCACTAACCTTTAGCACTCATTTAACATAAATTAATAGTAAAAGGTTATTTTCTTTGACGAACGAAGATTATTAGATAGTGAATGTTCGAAATTACAAAAATAGATCTTTTGATCTATAGTCCGAAAATATTTTTGCGTGCATACATTGAAAATCCCATATATGTTAGATAGCATCAACAAAAAAATAGAACCGACTATATACCGGGTCGCAAAAACTCGCATAATTTAACTTCATGATATATGGTGTCAATTAAGTATTGTTCCGTAATAAATAAAAATTGTTACATCAGTCAAATAGATAATTTAATTTACTTTTTGCCGTGAAATAATTATTGTAAACAATGCAATGTGAATTTCGATTAAAAAACCGCAGGAAAGTACAAACGAAAAACGCAGACTTGAAGAAAAATCCATTATAAAAAGGAGGTTGGGGCCCCAACAATATATATCCATTTCAAATGGTATTGCTAATTGAGGTCACACTATTTTAATGTTACTCAGTATTGCCTTTAATGAGTCCTTTGGTATATTATTTGAATGATCGGAAATGTTAGTGTTGACCTTCTGAAACATTTTCATCCTGTTCAGTTTGATGTTATCTGACTTAACAAATTATCAACAGCCTCTAAGCCAGTGATCCTCAAAAGGACTTTCATTGTACTCGTTCATAGCATTTGTAAATTACACTGTTTACAGTAAAAAAAAAGTTAGTATACAATGTATAGGAGCGAGTTTTGATTGCATTTAAAAAATAAGAGATTTTCCAAACGCAATTTGGGGCTTGTACTTCGAAAACAAAATCGCGGTAATTGCACGATTATAGTTGTTTAATTTTTGATGTTATTTGCTTATAAATAAGTTCTGAAATGAAGTAACATTAAGAAGTACAAGAAAATTTTTATATATTTTTTTCGTTGCAGTAAAAAATACTTTGAGTTATTGGCACTTGTTATTAAACCTACTGTTCTATATATACTGTGATTCAATCGCCTCAGTTGCGTGCGTTGACGCAATACAATATTGCACGCGATTTGAATACAATACAACCGATAAAAGATGGCTGCCCGATATATTTGGCTATTGTGGAGAAAAACAACAGTACTTATAATCGGATATTACCAATAGAAGCGTTGCGCTAATATTAGCGGTTATGGGTTAGCCTTTTTTAATGTAAAAATTTCTTCTGTATTCTACAATTTGAGAAATAATGGATTTTGTCAAAGACATAATACGCAGGTTGTGCCTAAATTTACCGTCGTCGCTTTGTTTTTGTATGTACAACAGCTAACAATGATATTTATATTTAAGTGTCATATCATCATCATCATCAGCCCTTTTACGACCCCACTGCAGGGGCTCTTCCTTATGGATGGTTAAGGAGGATGGGCCATGACCCTCCACGCTGGCCCAATGCGGATTGGAGGGTATTAACGCCTGCAAATGCAGCCGGGACCAACGGCTTAATGTGCCTTACGAAGCACGGAGTAGCTCGAGATAATGAATTTTTGGTCACCCATCCCGTGACTGACCCTTGCTAGAGTTGCTTAATAACAACGATCGCGGGCCGCGGCGCTTATCCACTACGCCACCGAGCTACTCAATTGTCATATTGCTGTGTTATATTTCGAGAGGATACCAGTTTAGTAGCTAGTGATTGAAAATTTGATTAAAAAGATTAAAAGTTTTGCATTCACAATACTATACTTAAAAATATTACAGTAGTGGATTTTTTAAGCGTTTTTCATTAACAATAATTCTTTTTAATCAACTTTGGAAGAATTATTACAGTTCTTTTGAATGGTCGATCTTTTTCCAACCGTGATATTGAAGAGTTGCTCAAAGAAATGATGACGTGTATGGAAGCGGATTGGTACGAGTATATTGTGAAATTATAGAAAAAAAGAGGGGAGCAATATGGACTATCAATACTAATATAATAAGACAACAGGAATAAGCTCATACATGCGAATTAAGTTTATCCAAAAACGCATTAGTTAAAAAGTGGTTAAGAAAATATGAGATTGTTAATAATCTAAACATTTTTTGATTATTTGTCGTATTTTGGTTCTCAAATACGTTTTTTCGGCGAGATGAGTTTCAAAACACCTATACAGTAACTAATATGAAGCGACTCAGAAGTGAAATTCAAAATAAAATATAGATACGTAAACTAAGAGCTCTACAGCCGAGCGAGAATAACAAAAGACCACAGCAAATACACGATTTTTCATTACTTATTTACTACTAGTTTTTGCTCGTGACTTCGTCTTCGTCGTAAGCCCGAGTTTTAAGTCCAGAAATGTGGAAATTCCATAAAAATTTTCATCCCTTAGTAACCCCTTAGGACTCGAATTTCGTAAAATCCCGTCTTAGCGGGAACCTATGTCCTAAAAAAAACTCACATGCAAAATTTTAAATTCCTATCACTTGCAGTAACGAAGTTTCATACAAATTTTCATCCCCTAATATTAGCCCCTTCGGGGTGGAATTTTCAAAAATCCTCTTTCACTCCCTAAAGACACTCCTCTACACTCCCTAAAGAATCTTCATTCCAAATTTCAACTTTCTCCGCTGAGCAGTTTCGGCTGTACGTTGTCTGTCAGTCAGTCACTAAGTAACGCAAGAATTTTATATACATAAACAAAAAGTAAATCCTTAGTGGTAAATAAACCGTCGTCCGTAACATCTCCCACTCTAATAAGCGTCAAAGACATCGATACAAAATCATTTATCATTGTATTCGTTTCAACTTGATCTGAATACGGGAATCCTATAAACATCTCGGACGTTGTGGAAATTCGCGATCACTCACTCCCTGCTTCCATTAATCTTGTTTCCAAACTGTAAATGGAGTGTGGAGGCTGTTGCAAGTTGGGAGCGGTTGCATTCAGACGGGCCACCGTTGGGAAACAACAATGTAGCGAGTGTTCCACCGGCTGCGTCCGATAGTCACGCCCGGTGCGTCTCATGTGTAGCCTCTGCCTTATACCGCGGTGCCAAAGTGTAAACTATTGCATCATTGAAATGGACTATATATTCTAAAATTGTAAAAATTGACAACGTGAGAATATTTTTGTGAAATCAAATAATTTAAAAATGACTTGCATTTGTCGTATTTTTTGCACTTTCTTGTCTGGAACAAAATTTATCTTAAGCGATAAGTCCACCGATTATACCATTAAAATTTTACCAGATGTGGTGATAAATGTATGAAAGTATATTATCATTAAACTCTTTAATTCTGCCAGTATCTGTATAAACTCCACCACGGTTATCTGGATATTTAGCATAGTATGTTATTACATTACTGTGATGTTGCTACAGTCTCTTATTTGCACCACACGAAGGTGTGTCATGTTACGCAAGAGTAGGCGTAGTGACGGTAGCCGCGCCAGGATAGTAATATGAAATAATTTATTTCCTTTCCTCTGCATCAGCTCTTTGTTCTTCAATATAGCACCATGACACAATCTCTCTCCTCAGTCCAGATGTGTCTGTTGTTGTTTTGATTCAAATACATCAGTAGTAGACTCATAATATTGCTAGAACTGTAGTAGTAATAATGAAAGGAGTCCTATGTCGATTTTATTAGTATTGAAAATTTGCGTAACTTCATATTTGTGATTTTCGTTTGCAGTTCCTGTTAAAATAATGAACTGCTTTTTTGATGTTCATAGAGATGTCATCCCATATTATTAAGCAAGGCGGGATGACTACAGGTGCCATGTGAATTTTGGGTTTTAATTTTATTCATACAAAGATTTTTTCAAAATAAAGAGAATGTAGTAATTCTGTAGTAGGCACCAATTATTACAAATTTTGATATAAAAGTTCTTTTTGTTTTTCCCATGACTATTATGAGTATTCGCTGTACTCTTTCAATAAATCTTCTAATTTTTTCAGTAACTTCAGCCAAGTCAAATGTTGCGCTTAATCAAATAGCGTTAATTATTTTTTATATATATTTGAAATATATTATTTGTGTGTTTGTTGCAGTTGGTGGTGAATCTGGCGTTGGTGATCTACCGCGCGTTGGACTACCAGCACGCGGAGGATGAGGAGCGGCTAATTTCGCCAGATCTCGAGAGCCTCATCACTGAGATGACCGCCTGCGATGACGTCGGTGAGTAGCGCGATCACGTCCAGCAGTACTATGCTGTTATAAAAATGCGTATTAATCTTTGCCTTTATTTAAATTTTATTTCATTGACACTATGACATGACAGCGTTGCGTTTACCGACGAGTTTTAGGATATCTTTAAATAGAACAACATAGCATTTTTTTTTTCTGTGGTGGCTTAGGTCTAACATGAAACAATAATTATATTTCCATGAAACAATTATATTCGAATAATCGATTTGGACGTCTTGTAGGGAGTGATTGCGTGAAGAGTTGTTAAGAAGAATTGAATTCCTGCGGTGCAAATCAATAATTTTGATACAAGTACAAATAGACGTTGCGAAATGCTCGAGTAGATCATAGGTATAACAACATCATTGCCAAAATCAACAAAAACGCAAGCTATTATTTCGCTTCCAGATCAAAATCAAGGATTATTAAAATTGATCAATTCTGCATTCAAAATACTATACTGCAAAATAGTCTTTGATGGGACTCTGAGATGAGACTCGAACCTATGACCCTTCGCAATCCGGGCGTTGGAGCTGTCGCCTGGATTGCGAAGGGTCTTTCATCGTAACCCAAGTTTCGGCACCATAAGTGAGGACTGGCAGAACGCATTGGTTAAAAGGCGTGTTTTATGCGAGGTGGTGATTTTCAAGGCGACTTTCAAAACTCAACTTCGTGAAGGCAGTCCATCCAAGTCGTATTCTCCTGTTGATTTCATTTGTATGGTTCTCTTTGCCCATCCTGATTTCCTGACCTATTAAACATATTTTACAACCCTCTTCAATAAAGTGCTGACTATGGATATTGTTTCCGTGCTTTTGGTGTTTGTGGTCATGATCTTAGTTTTTGCGATATTCATTTCCAGACTAATTTTAGAAGAATCTGTATGAAGTTTTTGCACCATAGATTCCAGTTCTTGTGGAGTGTTTGCAAACAGCACAATCAGCGAATATGAGATTGTTGAAACATACATCAGATATTAGCAGACTATTGTCTTCTCATTCCAGCTCTTTAAAGATATCTTCGAGTACAAGAGTGAAATGCTTAGGGGAAATAGTCTCGCCCTGCCTGACTCCTTTTCCAATGTCGACGGGCCTTATGTGTTGTGAAATTGCCACTGTGAATGTTGAGTTTTTGAAGATTTCGGCGATGATGCCTATTATACCTATTACCTATATCTTATATATTATACCTATTATCTTCTCGAGCATTTCGCAACGACAGTTTGTACTCGTATTTCAATTATTTATTTGCACCGCTAGAATTCTATTATGTTAATATGTACAGATATTCTTCAATAAGATATCAATAAACCTGTTGATCTCATATTTAGTAAACAATGTTGATACGATAAAGTTCTATCCAATTTTTTCTATTTAAATTGGTAGGGTCAATTTATTGCTATTGAATAGTACTACATTTTTTTCCAACTACCATTTAAGACTCGTTATAGCTGTTGAGGTGCTTGGGCAGAAGACATTTCACAACATTTAACCTTTTAATGGTGATATTATTTAATTTTTAATAACCAAATTTTTCTATTGATTTCTACATTTTAGATCGTTCGGTTAAAAAACAAATAATTGGAATTCCCGAATGGGTTATATCGGTACGTGATATCGGTTGGTGGAATTCCCTCCACAGCTTTTTGAATGAAATAGAACATATGACATCATACTCAAGTACTTATCTTAAATGAGACATATTTATGTGCTGGCGCCAAGTCATAGCTATTTGGAAAGCTGATTAACAGCAATTTTTGCATTAAGCTCATAAAGTCAGAATTCTGTTCTTTGTTGTTGTGATAAAGGAAAATATTAGCGTGATTGCATCTATAGTCTTTGGATGAAATGTTGCGAACCGCGAGCTGTATTCATATTAAGCTAATGTGTTATGACAGGATCATAAAATTTTAACAACTACATCGTAGAACTCATCAATTAATTATGTCATATTTATAGTAAATGCAACGTCGAGAAGCGAAGTCCTCTTATAAGATTTGAGGATAGTGTTCTAACATCACAATGACTTCGAGTAAAAGCGTTATAGTTTCCTCCGGTGGTTGAGTGAACTTTCACCCCGCTGACCTTTCCACGACGTCACGTCGCCATCGCCCACCGATGTACAACACTACTACCACTGTTTGACTTTCCTTATAAGCTTAGCGGCGACTATTAGCTGAATTCTCATTGGTTGCTTATGGAAAGAGCTATGTGACAGGTTCCGTGCTTGTTGTTGGTTGGTAAATGAAAGGCTGGCTAATCTTGATAAGTTGATATATTTATAGTTTAAATAAAAAAACTGTAACAAAAAATGTATGTTCGTATGGATTCTTAAAGTGAAGTAGTATTAATAGGTACTCATATAAAGAATTATATACCCCTTTTCTGGGTTTTATTTTATATGTAGCACATTAGTGGACATTTCATATTTATCATATATACTGACGATTTATATGATTAAACTTAGATAGCAGTAATGTTCTTGTCGGATGAAATTTTCATGAACTGACATTTAGAAAGAGCGTATCGCGTTACTCAAAATTTCAAATTACGAAAAATGAAAGAGTTCTTAAAGATCAAAGACAAAAAGTTTGGATGCGGAAACCTAGGAGGTGTGGTACGAAGCGCCGTTACAGCTTGTTATTTAATGATCAGCGTAAGCTAGAGAAATCTTTTGACCCTCTCGGAGGACTCGATATTATATTGACGTAGCGTAGTGGTTCGTATGCAGCGCCGGTTTTAAGGTGGCGCCATCTCTGAGGCACCGGGTTCGATTCGATGCGGTCGGGTCAATGTAGAAAATGTACTTTTCTATATGGTCTTGGGTCTAGGTGTTGTGGTACCTTTGTTGTCTCTCCATAATACGGAGACTTTAGTTATAACATCATCTTGGAATTAGTTGAGCTATATATGTGATGCTGATGTTAGAGTGATGGTTTATTATGGGATTGGTATCAATGTACTTTGTTTTATTGGGTTCCTGACAATCCCGCATAAAAACTATCATTCTAATGTAAATGGCCACGAAAGTTATGTCTATTATTTATTGAAACTTTGACGTTTCTGTTTTAAATAAACCAATTGAATGTTTTTTATTATCTACGAAAATAACTTCATTATTAATCGCAGTTTATTTTGTATTTACTTTGTTTATAATACAAATAACGTTAGTTTTCTTGGCGCAAGATCTTAAAAGTTTGGACAGTACAAATAGAAAATTAAAATTGCGCCTTTACTATGTCCATTTTTTAAAAGTCGGCACTACCGTATCAAGTTATCAGAATATCATAATATCCATGTAATAATGATAAAACGAACACCATTTCTATTACCGACGATTTGTTTTGGTGAATCACCGCCATCCGCCAAATGAAATCAACAACGCGACGGACGTGCCGACCGTACGGTGTGCTGTAATTGAAATATTATTTGTATCGTGCTGGGACGTTGATGGGCTTAGCCGGTTTCGGTGCCGTTAGGTATTAAAGCTGGTGGATTATTTAAAATCGTCCGAAACAACGCGTGCAATGAGAGAGTCGATGGTACACGAGCTAAAAGCAAGTTCTTTATTAGATTTTTTGTGAACGGATATTCCTAGTGAAGTTATTAGTAAAATTATTACCGGAGAAAGTATCAAGATGGAGTTAGTTATCTAATGTAAATTATAGGATATATTTGTGAAGTCTTATCCTTTTTTTTTTAATGAAATTATGTATGTTTCTATGTGGGGTTTGTTTGTCGTATTCAGGTTAAAAAAATAACAAATCGACTCAAATACTGTAACCATTCAATGGAATTGGAAAGGTAAGCCAATTTGCCAATTTATTATGCCAAGTTTGACACTTTTAGACAGAAAACATTGGAATTCCCAATTTATTTGTCATGTCTATTGTTATAAATATTTTATAAAGAAAATTTTTATAGTTCAGTAACAAGTTACTTGCCACTGCAATTTTGGGGAGTGAAGCATTTATTGAAGTGTAGAGTAGTAAAAAATAAAATTAGGCTATATTATTCATTTTATAGCGTACACATTATAATGTAGAAAGCTCTTCGGGGTTTTTCAATAAATTGAAAATATTTTTTTTTAAGTAAGCTTTTGCTGTACCACCTGTCTTGTGGACAAATAAAACCAACTCAAACTCGATGAGGTTGCTTTACTTATTTAAAGACGTTTTGTGACTAAACATCATCAAATCACCTTCATTCCATATATCTTATATAGACAAATCAAACGAGCACAAATAGAACGGAATTGTGTTGTTCAGTTCCATTATCAGACCCTGAGCAAGATCAGCTTCATTTCAAATTAATATTGCATTGTTATCCAAGTTATGTGTATGAGAAATTTCAGCTCAATCTAAAACCGAGTTTATTATTGACCATCCCACACTAAAGCGTGATCGTTCTTCTGCCAAAACACTTGATGAGTGTTCTTGATTTTTAAATGTATTCAAATTTATTCTTTCTTAGACAGTTTTCGGTTTCTTCTTTAATTTAAAACTATTTGGTGAGGTGAAGAAGCAATCTTCTTTGATAACATAGAATATTTCACTTATCATAATAAATGTAGTGTACGGTAGTTGTACGTTATGAATGGCATATTCCCCCTCCTCAGTCACGTTCATGGGAACCTTCTGCGGTGCCATAACCGGGGCGGTAAGTCTCGGGACACAATGGTGGAGGTACGAATCCAGGTCGATGTTTAATTGTTCTTTTGCCGTTTAATTGTATTGTGCGTATACTGTGACGCGCTGTTACTTGTACACAATATCTACGCACAATTGTATTTTTTACTCGTGCTAAATGATACTGTGGACTATTGTTCACTTATATCACATTGACGACTTCAACAGCCGAGTGAGTCGCACGCTAGTTTTATATCTCTGAGGTTTCTGGTCCGATTCCCGGTCGGGTTAATGTAGAAATAAACTTTTCTATATTGCCTCGGTTTTGAGTGTTGTGATATCATTAGATACTCCATAATCATCA